TTAATTCCTCGAATCTGATTACTTACCGCGTATTCTGGTTTGCTCAGACAAGTTTGACTTCAGTCCTAAGAATCTGACCTCGCTTGACCCCTGCAGTCCTCTTCGACTGACTCTGTGATTGGTCATCTGAGGACGCTCGCCTGTCCAGCCCCTGTCTTTCCCAGGCGCGTTCTGGAGAACATGGCGCGCGTTCACGTTGCTGGTGGATGTTTTTCTTGGGGGCCGGGACGTCACTCCCACGCAGCATATATAATAATAATAATAATAATAATAATAATAATAATAATAATAATAATAATAATAATAATAATATATAACATATTCTCATCGATTGAAGAAAGCAGTGATGAGATTTCACTTGCATATTTGACACCTAGAGTCTAAAAAGGAACTTAATTCAAGTATGTCTTGTAAGACGACGTGTGGATTTGTTAAGACACGTGCACCAGCTGACTCTGCCGGAGCGAATGTGGCGGAAATATTTCGGGACCAGAGGAGCGCAGATCCACGGGACTTTCAGGCAGGTTTGGTTGTCTTGTGACGCGCCTCTGAGTTTGCGGTCAGGCCGCCCCGTGTGGCCTGCGTGTTCTGGCGTTGTAATCCGGCCTCGGGTCTGCTAATCCCCTCCTCACGGTGTCGGTCACACCTCCACCCCTCCCCACTCTCTCCCCACCCGCGGGGACACGGGGAACTGCGCGCGGGCTCGCCAGAAATATTTGAACTGCAATCACTAAGTTTCAGACACGGATTATTCACGATTCGATCGATCAGCATTGATTATTGAGCGCTGCTCTCGCGCGCCGAGCTCGAGAACACCCGCCCCATTCTCTGCCCCCTCAGCGCCATCAGTCTCCTTCATGTCCTTCATCTCCTTCACCCTCCTCCATCCCCCTCGTCTACTTCAGCGACCCGCTCTCCCGGAACAGCACGGAGCGGAACGTGCCCGGAGACACCGCTGTTTTCCAAAGTAACATTTGTCGTGTTTCAAGCGACTGCCGCTCCCTCTCGGGCCCCGAGGTCTCTGCGTGTGGAGTCTGCATGTTCTCTCCGTGTTCTTGTGAGCTTTCATCGCGTGCGCCGCCTGCCCGTTCTCTTGTTTGGCCCCTAGCAGGAGAAAGCGGCTTCATGTTAATGGTGGAGATAAATCACAGTGATTATAAGAAAATAGCGGTTAGAAAGGAGAGGACGCAATTCGGGGCACACTCTGCACTCGTCCGGTATCTCGTTGATCTGGGGATCTGGGCAGCTCGTGACTGAAACCCCCTTTCACTGGGAGGGTGACCTGTTCCAAATTCTTGCTCCTTTGACACGGTGTGACTTCCCACGTTTAAACGAGCCTCCAAAGTCACGGGGCAGCGGGTGTCCTGTCTAGGAACCCATTTCCATAAAAAAAAAAACATTGGAAAGGGAGTCTTATCCCGTCGCTCCCGGGACGCTGAAGAGAATACAGGAGCGGCCTCGTGCTCCGGGGCCAGCGGTGACGTTCGTCAACAGCACGCGGGAGGGAATTCTCCGCGCGCGCAGGGACACGGGAACCACAAGTTTCAGGGGCAGGAAATTCATTTTCTGTGTCATGGGCACATAGTTCCGGTTATTATGCGATAGTTCAAGTTGTAAAACATGGACGCAGACTCATGTGAAGGCTGAGCAGCGATGGTCTAATAATAATAATAATAATAATAATAATAATAATAATAATAATAATAACAACGTACACGCGATTGTCTTGGCTCTGACGTGAACGATCCTATCGGGAGGAAGGATGCGGTTGCCATGGAAACCACCAAATCTCAGCCTCATCCCACGCAGGTTTGACCGAAACTAGA